CATAACTTCGTATAGCATACATTATACGGAGTTATACGACAAGTCAAGTTTATGTCAGCCTGCCAAGTTGGCTGGACTGCCACCAGCGGTGTGAGTGCCATGCTTGGTGTGTTGCCAAGTTGGCATCATCAAGGGCAAACCAAACATGTCAGCTCACATCCTGTGTGTGTCAACCAAGTTTGGTGAACCAAATTGAGTTTATGTTGGCCTGCTAAATGGCCAACACAAACAAACTTCACACTGCCACCAGCACATCATGTCCACCACCATACCCCACGCAGCATACTTACCATGGCATACTTGGCGCTGCATACTTGCAGCAGCATTCTCCACACAGCATACTCCATGTGGCATACTCCACATGGCATACTTGGCACAGCATATTTGGTGCGTGCACTCACGCTGGGTGTGCAGAGACCAACATGTCTGGCACATCACAGCATGCTTGGCATGTTGCCAAGTCTGCATCGCCAAGGGCAAAATCAAACTCTGTTCCTCATCTTGTCAGCTTGCATCACATTTGCATCTAGCCAAGCTTGTGTTTGTGTCACACCAAGTTTGTCTTGGACCAAGTTTGTGTAGAGCCAAGTTCGTGTTGAGCCAAGTTGCATCAGATGGCCAACCAAGTCCAGTTTATGTCAGCCCACCAGGTCTGCAACACAAACTTCAGACTGCTTTAGGATCCATGCTTCCTCCATCACACATTCCTGTGTCTTGATGAGCTTCAGCACTACTTGCTGCTGCTTGTGGCTGTTGGCAGCACTTTGGCACAGCCACACCTCACTCTTGGAATTCTGCTTCACCAACAGTTTAGTCAGAACAAAGAATGCTGGTGATGGTTAGCAAGTGAACCTTGAAGAGCTGGCAGAGGGGCTCTGGATGGAGCAAGGATGATGTAACCAAGTGTTCATGAAAAAGGGTCAGTGACCCTTTTTGCTTAGCACAACAATCAACTATATATGTACATAAAAGGCCCCATTTGGCTGTTTTTCATGAGGTTGGTGTACAAATCAAGGAAAGCTTGGGTATTATTTTCAGAAAATGTACAGAAGTGGAGGATGCTATTGAAGAAGAAATGACAAAGGCAGAATCCCTTTTTATGTACAGATTTACCATCTGACATGTATCCGATTGCAATTTCGCCAAAATATGTGCATTTTTAAGGTCTTTTCTTGCATTTTCTACACATTTTCCGTTCACATTTCTCAGATTATGTGCATTGAACTCACTGAAGTGTACTGATGACACCAATCTGTTTCTGGAGGGTGTGCAGATGCTGGTGTTACAGCCCTGACAATCTGTACATGCATGCTGCCAGATAGTTAGTGAAAAAGAGTCACTGACCCTTTTTTGTGAACACTTGGTTATGTGGAGGTGGCCATTCCACCACTTCCATCTTGGGGTCTGTGATCCTCCCTGGGCTCTGCCTCCACTTGTAGCTTCATTGGCTGGTGGTACAGGCAGTACCACAGGATTGAGCTGCAAGGAATTTCAATGAGCTCAATGCACTTGGGGTGAAACCAGTTCAGGCATGCTGAGCACTGTACATAGTGCTGTTTGTTGTCCTTCATGCCACAGACACAGAACCTCTTCCACCAGACATTGCAGCATGGCTGCCACTTGCAGGTAACACTGTGTCCAGAAAAAGGTGATAGTGGTACTTTTTAATGAAACTAAAAACAGGTGTACATGAGATAAAAACACTGTGGAATTTGAATGTACACAGAGAAGAGAAGTTTTATTTACAGGAGTCTAAATATTTCTTGAAGGGTGGGTGGGGGAACTCCAGTGTTGGCATTAAAGTCAAAGCCACAAGCTAAAACAGACCCCATTGGAACAGTGCTTTCTGAGCCATGGTCAGTCCAGCGTCCATTAGTGAAGTTCCACCAGTGGACATGGAGCCTCTTACAGAGAACACTGATGATCTTGCATATCCAAAAGTCCTGAGTGTCTTCATCAGCATCAGCCCAGACAGCAACCAGGAGCAAAGTTGAAATGTTGGACTTGGGGTGTAGTCTGTGTGTGGACAACCTTGACCCTGGTTTGGAGACAGAACAATGGACCATCAAGGAGAGGATTAGTGATGGGGTGAGCTGTGAGTCCATCAAAAATCAAGTTATTGCAGGTGGGTTGGGAGCTTGAAACAAGAGCCTCATGTGCTTCAAAGATATCAGCCCATCACTAAGCTCAGACTCAAGGAA